GATATAAAGATTTCATTGCTTATTCTTTATTATGTGTATATAGGATTTATATGGAATATGATGATTTCATGAGTTTGTACAAGCCATACCTCATATTTTTTTTCATTTCACATGCTGAATACTATCATTTTGTAAAAAAAAATTCGGAAAAAAAGATGAATCGTTCATGATTCGTACCTAGGACCTCTCACATGTGAAGCGAGAGACATTTTTTTAAATTGATATATTCATCTTAATTTGCATACACTTATAACAATTAAGTTAGAACAATATTAAAATGGAAAATAAAAATCACATAAGTTTGTTTAAAAAATAAATAAAAGTATGTCTTCAGTTTCTTTCACAATATGATTTCTGTTCAAAAACTTTTCATAAAATATTCGTTTTCTGTTTTCATCAATGCACAAATAATTAAAATAATATGAAATATAATGTCTCAATATATATATTGCACAATTTTGTAACATCAATAAGTTTGCCACTTTGTAATTATATTTGTCTTCTTTTGTAGATTGAAATTCTACACATTGAAAGAAAAAAATTCAGAAAGAAAAAAATTAACATGTTTGAGTTTCATTGTAAAACCATTTAGAAAAACAATTTCAAATTTCAAGGTATTATATACACTATTTTTACAGTCTTTCAAGAACGATTCTAGATGATAAATAACAAAATTCTTCTTAAAATCTTGGAGTTCTTTACATTCTAAAAAAAGATGAAAATATCCTCAGTACCTAATCCACAAACAGCAAAAACTTAAGACTCTATCTTCCTAATTTTAAATAATTTTTCATTCGTAAAAATAATATTATGAAAGACTTTCAAGTCTATTTCAATAATGTCTGGCGGTTTTAATGGTTCCCATAAAATCAACCATTTTTGTTTTATGTCATTTTGATCAACCATTTGAAATTTATTACACCAGAATTGATCTGAAACAGGGTGTAAAAAAAGCTTTACAATAAGTAATCTATAAAATATCCGTACAGTACAGGAATTGAATACAACATTTTGATCTTTGATACAAAAATCAGACACAAAATTATTTCTTGTATATTCAGTTTCACACACATATTTTCTCTATTCATCTGGAATAACTGATTTCAAACATATATAATTTTCTTTGATAGTTTTGACATCTATATCAGGATTCTCCTCTTAAATAATTTCTATAATACAAGAAACAGGTAGAAAACCAGGTATAACCTCATAAGTAATGTCGTTTACATGCGAAATACCTGATCTGATAAAATGATCCCATTTCAACATCTTACTATTAGTAACAATTTGTGGATTACAAAATAAACAATAATCATAAATATTATTATTACCCTTCTTGTATTCTATACTATCTTCTATTGCATACCCTGCATCCATCATCTCCTTATAACACTGAGGAAGAAACTGAAGATATTTCTTTTTAAATTTTAATAAAAATAATTCAAACCCGGCTCTCAAACCACAAATTTTTGACAAAAAATATCGACCTGTTAACTTCCAAAAAAATATTTTTCATTGCACATATATTTTGCTAATGTCTTCAGTCAGAAGGCTAACATTTCAACATATATATCAATAACATTCAAACCACCTTCTCTCTTTTTTCTCCAATTATTGTTTTGTAGGAGACTAAATGTTTACCATAATTCCATAAAAAGTTTGTACATTCCCTTTGAATACTTTCTATTGCCCATTTAAGCATTGATATTACACTCAAAAAATACCACAATTTTGACATAAATAATTTATTTATAACTACTGCTCTTCCTTGAATTGTTAACTTTCTTAATCTCCAAAAATTTAATAATTGTTTTATTTTCTGCACTTTATCTCTCCAATTTAGGTTTTCACATTCCTGTTTGCTCTTTCCAAAATATATGCCTAAAATTTTTATTACATTTGTTTCTGAAATACATAGTAAATCTTTTTCATGCTCTAATAACTTTGCAGTTCCAATACACATTACTTCAGATTTTTGTTTGTTAATTTTTGCACCAGAAGCTTTTCCATATAAATCAAACATTTTCAAAATTTCAAAAATAGATTTCTTCTCACATGTTGCCAGAGTTGTGTCATCAGCATGTTGAAACATCAATGCACGTTCATTAGAGATTGGTATAGGAATTTCTACAATGCTTGTAATAATTTTATATAACAACTTAAAGGTTCTGATGACAATACAAACAATAATGCAGAAATAGGACAACCTTGTCTCACAGAGTTTTTAATCGGAAAATATTTGGTTAAAAATCCATTACCCTTTACACTGCTGTAAATATCTGTATAAAATATACTAATCCATTTTCTAAAAATTGGTCCAATGAAGCGAGAGACATACCACTAGACCACGGGACCGCTTTCAAATTTCGTAAATTATATGCAAACACGAAGTCACATACATGTTTATTTTCACGTTCGATATTGTCAAAATTTTACACAATAAATGGTGTCTAATTTAGCCTTTATTAAACAGTTCTAATAAATGTAATAAGAATATAAAGTACGCCGAGAAACCTGTATTATACGTAATAACTCTCCTCATGCCCCTGTGCTAAAAATAGCGACATGTAATACAATAAATACTAATAAAAAAACGGGATGGGACACTTTGAGAGGGGTGAGAGAGGTCCTAGGGAGTTTTGGTATAAAATTAGATTGCAAAATGTCAAAATCTTCTTAAATTATCACCCGGAAACGATAGTGTTACACACAGACAGAATGTATAAATCTACAACCTTGAACTTTGACCTTTTGACCTCAAAATTAATATGGGTCTACCTTAGTTGTTATGTAAAATTTCATAGAAAAAGCTCAAAAAGTTCTCGAGATATCGCACGGAAAGGAAAGTGTTATAACAGACAGAATTTGTAAATTTATGACTTTGTACTTTGACCTCAAGATCAATTGCGTTCTTCTTTAGTCCATAGGGAGTTGCTATGCAAAATTTCATTGCAAAAGCTCAAAGGGTTTTCGAGATATTGTGTGGAAACGAAAGTGTTACAGAGAGACAGAAAGACGGACAGACGGACAGACCCAAATTGATATCCCCCACTTTTCAAATGGGGGACAAAAAAGACGGGAAAAGAAGAATAGAAACTTCCTAGTCGTTTCAAAGTAAGAGACGTTAAAATGACGTTATTATTATTTCAGCGACGGCACAATACAATTCAATGAACATGTTATTTTCACTTACATACGTCTAATGACAATAGTACATGGTTATTTTTCACATTTTTATATGTTATTGATAAAATGTGGGCCAATAATCATATATATGTTTATTTCTCTTTTACTATAGGTGAAGTCATGCCTCAACAATTTCCGAAGAGCAATCATATTTCATACCAATTGTTAGACCTTTGTTTTCATGTGATTCAGGAATTTTCCTTAGGGGGCGATGAAGGGGGCATGTTAATAAACTCCCATAGGCAGGTGTGATAAACCTATCCATGGTCAAGGGATTTTTTAATTCTCCTGGAACAGATACGGTGGGTACGTGATCCCCGAAAGGGGGGGGGGGGCTGTGTGAGAAGTGTATATTTATTTGCTTTATAACACACAATTTAATGACTAAATAATTGGGAGAGGGGAGCTAATTTGACACGTTGATTGCTAATGATCTACTTCTCATTTCAAGACGTCGAAATTAATTATATGATGATATGAAACCTACCAGTTTTGTATTATTGTATTTTTAACTCACTAGATCTTCGTTACCAGTGAGAAATGCTTTCAATTGCTCAATAAAGAAAAGAGGAGGCAGGCAAAAGCATTGCGATGTGGGAAACAACTTTAAAGATTTTTTATTACACATTATAACAATGCCAATCAAGAAAATTTTTCCAGAAATTAATTAAAGAAATCGTTTAAACTAGAAACTTGTTGATATTAATGTCAACGACAGAAAACTTTGGACAAATTAAGTGCATGGCCATGGGGTTGTAGAAAAAAAATATTGGACATAATTTTCAATTACGTATAAATATAAATAAGATGACTTGTATGAATACATTTACACAAAATAAGGTCCAGAATACGATTTATGCAGGGAACAAACAATATAAACTAATGAAAAATACAAAAACAATACTTTACGAGCAGGCTTCTCCATGAACTGAAAGGGTACATGTTCTGTTATGCAGTCAAGAGAATTTTACTTGTTTCTTTCGTACATATAACTATAACAATCCCAATGACAAAAATATAAACACCATGTACTATTTATTTCTCTTATTGTTATATATATGTACCAAACATCTTAATATTATGATAAGAAAATATTCTTCTTCTAATGTTTTTCTCAGTTTTCGATTCAGATTCATTTTCAGATTTGGATTCATTCATTTTCAGAAACATCTCTCTTTAGAATGTGTTTAGAGTTCATATCTAGTGGAATACGTGCGTTCTATTAATATGACATCCTAAAAGATGTTAAAGTTCGTTTTTTTTTCAGCTATATACAAAAATAACTGACAAAAACTACAATTTCACAACACATTGATTGCATTTTTGAATGCATTGCAGAAATACCCATCCTTTTTATTTTACATTTACAGAGTTTATAGAAATATAGAATATGAAATACACTCTTGGTGAAATATACTAGTACGTAAATAACCAACAGCATTATTAAAGCTGAAAAGTCCATTAAACAGTAACAATTTGGAGAGTAGCAAGCACGGACCTCCAAATCATCAGACTTTGGGTCAGGTCTTATGGAGGAATGCTGCCGACCGATCACACCCGCTGTGTGCTTCATATGTCAAAATTGGGAAGTAACGGAAAATCCGTCGACAGTTCAGTGTGTAAATAATTAGTGTCCAAACAATTAGTTTGAAAAACATCAGTCAGCATTTTCTGTCCAGTCAGTAAGCGGAGATTTTTAAAGTTTTTAATATTCCTTTTTAAGATTCAATATTTTGGAGTCCTAAGTTGTCCAGTTCTGTTTGTTCGTTTCTTTCTTTGTTCCTCTCTCATTCTTTGCCCCGTGTACATATTAATACAATGTTGAAAGGATTTTGTCTTACCCATTTCATTTTTATTTTAGAAATGTTCCTTTGCATTTTGTTTAAAGTTAATATTCCTTTGCCAACCTGTAAGAAAGCTGTTGAGTATCACGTAGTCAGATAGGTCCATCAGTAAAATGTTAACGATCACTATCCAGAATCTTATTTAACCACCAGTTTAATGTTGTATTCAACGATAAAACGCTGAAGATTTACTGATGTTCTTATCATATCATTAATTGTAGTTTGATCTCATTTTATGTAAATTTGGGATTTTCCTGAATCAAGTTCAATGTCTTTAATACTCTGGTCAATTCAGTACAATAGAGAAGCTAAAATTAACTTTATCTGCACCAATTTGTTTGTTTGTTTTATGTAGTTGGAGTCTCGTGTTCCGTTTTCTCAGATTCATATGTACCTGGGGATAGAGAAAAATTACAAAATTTTTTCTTCTGAGAAAATTATTAGAGAGAGAAAATGTCACAATAAAAACAATTGCACTTACAAATAGAAACCTGTCTTCCGAAATGGTGGATTTTGATTTTACTAGGTTTATGAAACCTCTCGATGACAGACTTGTCTGCTGAAACAGGGCGGATGCACTTTGCCATGACTGTAAACACTTATTTAATAGTAGAAGGAAAAATTCTATGTCGAACACTGTGTACACAACATAGGTTGATTTATTGTTTTAAATGTATCCCTTTATATATATTTTTTATACATGTACTTATCTCTGTGGTAATTTCCCTAGAGGCCTTCATCTAATTAAACTATTTATAGATTTAACCTCAAAGATGTTTGATTTTATCTGTATGATGTTACTAATTTTACCTAGCAAATTAAGCTTACTGTTTCGATGTTGATGGGGATCTTTATTTATATTCAAAATCTTATCAACTTTTCTGCCCTGATATTATGAACTACCTGTTCTGAAAAGAATATGAATGTATTAAGATATTTCAAGTGTAGGTTATTAGACCATCTGACCTTGAACTGTATAATGTTGCAACATAGCCCCAGTGAATTCGAAGTCGGTGTAACGACGAAAAGTGACCCCCGTAGAATATTGACAAGGGGGTCATTTTTCTACCTAGAAGAACGACCCCGGGTCAATGTTCCACGACAAGTAGGGTCATATTTCGACTGTAGAAAAACATTCAAGTCCAGTAATTCTCCACACACGTTGAAAAATGACCCCCATAGAAATTTGACCCCCTACTTTTTTATACAATAAAACCTTATACTCGTATCTATGTCTCCTGATATTTGTTCGCACTTTCAAATGTACGTAGGGGGAATATTTTTTAAGTTCTTTTATCCTTTCCAAAATATTTTTAATTGCATATCTTAATAGAAGCATCACAATTAATGTATCTGGTATGGCTTTATTTTGGATTGCAGAATCCCAATGAAAATCTTCAAGAGTAACAATGCAACAATATATTCAAGAAGTGGTGTGGATCATATGTGGATACTCAAACATTCCAAAGAAATTCTGGACAATTTGAAATCACTAGATTTTTCCAAAATCAACAGCTTAAAAACTTCCGACTTTTCAATGTTATACACAACCATTCCCTACGATAAATAAATGTCCTGGATTTTTGATAACATTGACAGCTGCTTTTTTTAAATAAAAAATGGAACACACTCTGATTGTACACACAAGTACTTTGAAGATGACATCAAAAAGATGCTTGAGTTTCTGATTGACAATATCTATGTGGTTTTTGGAGACCAGCTATTCCAACAATCTATTGGAATTCCCATGGTTACCAATTGCGCGCCGTAATTAGCAGACCTATTTTTGTATTCATATGAAGCAGAATTTTTCCGAATTCTTATGCGTGAAAAAAGAGACTTGCTGTGGCCTTCAATTCGACATTTAGATATATCGACGACGTATTGTCAATTAACAATGGTAATTACCATTCCTACGTCGAAATGATATATCCTGGTGAGCTTGAGATAAAAGATACCACAGAGTCTGACAAATCTGTTTCATATCTGGATATTTTACTTGAAAAAGACGTTAATGGTAGTCTAACAACCAAGCTATATGATAAACGTGATGACTTTCACTTTTCTATCGTCAACTTTCCTTACTTATGCAGCAATATACCTTCATCACCTGCATACGGAGTTTATATATCTCAGCTGGATCGATACGCAAAAGCATGCCCTACGTATGAAGAATTTTTAAAACGAGGTAAATAATTAACAAACAAGTTGATGAAAAAGAATTTCAGCAGTTTCGTTTAAAGTCATCCTTTCGTAAGTTCTTTGGTTGATACAATGACCTTGTCAGCAAATACACTTTATCATTGAGTCAAGTGCTGATTGACGTTTTTCATACTAATTGTTAATCCATTATTTATACACTGAATGGACGACGGATTTTCCCGTTATTTCCCGATCATGACAAGGAGCATACGGCAGGTGTGACTGGTTAGCAGAGGATGCTCACTCCTCCATGGCACCTGATCCCACCTCTGCTGTTTCGGAGGTCCGTGTTTTCTCTGCTCCTGTTTTGTATTGTTTTATGGACTTTGATATTGAGTACTGTTCGATATCTCCATATCCTTCATTTAACAACACTAACACTTACCTCTTGTTCATTGAATAGTCATCATATCAAGGCTAACATGCTTTAATATACTACTTTATTTATAGTAAAATTCAACACAAAAGAGGCGTGAAAAAAGATTTGTTGTTAAAATCCTGCATCACTTCTTACTTATGACAAGTGAGTTTGAATTTTTGCTTCCATAATTAAACCATCCATTCATTTTGGCGCGTTTATCTCTGCTAAAGCGATTCTAAATGATTAATCTTCAAAACAGTGCAAACGGAAGAAAATAAACAAAGCCAAGTGCTTGAAATAATGTTTTGAATTGTTTAAATAAGCTTTCACAACTCCACTAACTAATCATTATAACAAATTTAAATCCCTAAATATGGGGATCAGTAACTCGAGACATATTGTGGGGGTGACAAATAAATATTTTGCATTTATGTAGTTGGAAACCTGTTTCTTCACTTGTTATGGATTGTTGTAAAGATCGTCTTTAATTTGTGAATAAGATTAAATCTTACAAAAACGTAAGAAAAGGAAACCATTGAAAAAACCATTTTGATTTCTAACTAACGCCTTTTTAAAAAAAAAATAACCAAAGGTACATGTTTTCTGATTTCATTAAACGACGACCGTTAGAGCAAACTCTTCTATTGTTTTGATTTACGGGGGCATAACTAACATCTATATGCTGCAATATCCAAAACTTAATAAAAATGAAAAACGTTTTATTTTCATTTATCTTCAATATATATCCATTAAATCAAGGCAAGTGTTTCAGTAAAACAAGTGAATGTTCTACCAAACCTCTTTCTTTACTCCTCATTAAACTTTTAATAGTAGTGAAGGAGAAACTTCAGGAGTACTGTGATGCGTAAAATATATTCGACAAGTGACGTGAATCAGATGTTGATATTTAAAATTTCCAAGGAATTGTTAGAAAATTTGAAATTCCAATTTTTTTTCTAAAATCAACAACATAAAAACGTACGTTTTTTTAACATTAAATACGAGCATTCACGACGATAAGTTAAAGTTCAGGCTGTTTGATGTCATAGGCAACTGCTTTTTTAAAAAAAAAATCGTATATTTACTTAGTCATTTGGCCTATGCCTAATCACTTTGTTCAAAAACTTTCTTATAGTACACAAACGTACACTAAAGTTGATATTAAAACAGGTGCGTGAGTTTCAAATTGACAATATCTATGCGGTTTTAGAGACCAGGTCTTCCAATAATGTCTTTGAATTTCCATGGGTAGCAACTTGCATTCATGTGAAGGAGAATTTGTCCAAATTCTTTTAAGTGAAAAGAAGAAAACACTTGCTGTTGCCTTCAACTCAACATTTAGATATCAATGACGTATTGTCAATTAATAATCGTTATTTCTTTTCTTATGTTGATTTGAAATATACCATAGAGATATTTTACGTGCACAAGACATTAATGGTTATCAAATAACCACTTTATGAATAAGATGACTTTTATTTTTATTTTTCCATCGTCAACTTCACTTACTTATATAGCTTTATACCTACGTCACCCGCATACGGGGTTTAGATCGTATGAGCGTGTCTAAAACGAGGTAAATTATTGCCAGGCAAGAAGATGAAACAAGATTATCAGCAGAATCGTTTAAAGTCATTTATTCCTAACTTCTGTGATCGATACAATGACATTGTCAGCAAATGCAATTTATCTTAAGTCAAATGCTGACTGACACAGTGGGTGTGACCTGTAGATTGGGGATGCTCACTCATTCATGGCACTTGACTCCACTCCTGATGTTTTGGAGGTCCGCGTTTGCTCGTTTCCAATTTTGTATAGTTTAATGGACTTTTGAGCTTTAATACTGTTCTTTATCTACATCTATAAAGATTTTGATATATCTGGGGAATGAAATATTGAAATGGATACATTTGTTATTTTATTGTACAGCTAAACAAAATTTGAAAAGAATATAAATAAAGTGCAGGTTTAATGTCATCTTTTTAAACACAGGCCAAAGATTAAAAAATGTATATCCTAAGTGTGTTTTCTTTTTCCTGTGACATTTATTTTTGGAATGTAATAGTTTCGGAGACTACATTAATTTCATTATATTTAGATAAACATTTAGAATTTATTATTTTAATATGAAGTAGATTCATATTGAAGACATTGCCCAACCAATTAATACTACATAGATCAACATGGTTATAAGAAAAATTGATTTTTTATCTTTTATTTATGGATTAAGTGTACACTCCCTGATACAGCACATATCGAAATGTTATTTTAACTCACTTCATCTATATATTTCACAAGATTTGATTTATTATGCATTTTGGCTTAATACATGATTCATATCATGCATTCCTTTAAAACCCCCCTTTTTTTTAACAATGGGTTTTTTTTTTCATTAGCTCTGTTAGTTTATTAATGTTATGATTTTCTTTGATTTTTTTCTACTTGTATTATTTTTCAAACAAAATATGACATTACGAATATAATAATTTCATGAGAGAATTATCTGATTGTTATTGTCAGCTTTTATATTCCTTTTTTTCTTTTTGTAACATTTTGTTAAAACTCCATAATTGTCCTAAGACATGTCTCATTTTTTCAACACCATTTGATTTTTGATTTTACATTTTAAACTTTTTATCCATGATCTATGTAACATTATTCTCTATATCTTTTGAAACTGTCCACGTCTTTTCTTTATGATCTGACTTTTATCCTACTTAAAATATTTTTTCTATTGTTAACTTATTAAACTGCCCCAGGTGATAGTTATGTATTTGCTATTATCACTATATATATGTAAGACTCAAAAGTCCGAGGGTCTCGCCAAACCCCGATGGTTTGTCTTACATATACACGACGATTCCTTTTTGAAAATATATACCGGTGGTGATTACGTAAAATCTATTATTGTATGATACCACCCCTATAAATCTAGTTAATGGATACATTAGATACTTATTTTTTAATGGTTTTAAACAAAAGTATTCCATAAAATATTATGTAACAATTACGAAAAATACAAAACGCAAAGTAATACTACCTAAATGATTGTATGTTATGTGTATAATTATGAACCAT